TGCCCTTCTTAGTTTCCCTATTGAAATTCTGTTTATATTATAACCAGTTCCTAAAGAGATCTTCGATAGGTTATATTTTTTTAAAAAATCTTTAAACTTTCAAGAATTTTGGATTTTGCAACTTGGATCAGGAGTATAATTTGTGGAGAACTATTGTCAGTTGGGGTATCCACTAATGAGTTATTAAAGTATTAGATTAGTAAACATTTCAAACTGATATTTACCTTTTAGATAACATACTGACAGCAAGAAAGGAGTCATATACATCCTATAGAATTGATAATCTGAGAACAGAATTTAGATATGACTTAACTTACTATTTATTTTCCCCTGTGATTAGCTATTTGGGTCTAAAGAACCAGTCTCAACTGAACTGCAAAAATTATATTTCCCTTTCAGTCATCTCTTTGATCTTGTTTGAAAAGATCAACAAACATGCTAAATATAAGAAAAGTAAAATTGATCCTTTAAAAATAATATAGTATTATGCAGATAAGTGAAAATTTAATTACCCCTCTTGCAAAATAATTCTGGAAGAAAAAAAAATTGAAGATGGATGACTGATTTTGAATTAATGTTTATACTACAGAAATCTAGCATGGTTATTAATCACATTTAAAATTAATTGATTTTAGTGCAGTTTTTCTATGTAAGAACCTATAGAGAAATCATGCATATGCCATACTGATTTCTGCCAAGCTCAGCATTGTTTTTTGCATTCAAATGAAACTGAGATTGCAGAAAAGTGAGTCCTCTTTACATACTCAAGAAAAGAAGTAATTAATTCAAGCAAACATTCTGTTTCAGATTTCTAATGAAAAGTCACTCCCTGTTTAAGTTGGGTGTGAAGTCCAGTAAGACAACATAAATTTAAGTTATTATATGATCGGAATGTAGGGCTACTGTGCTTGATAAAATTCTTTAGTAGTAGTAAGGAAACCTTGCTTTTGTTCCAACACAAATTCATAAGGAATTTCAATATAGAAAAGAGTACAAGTGGAATTACTCTGGGTGAGGCTGATACTACTGCCGGCGGGATGCTCTGAGACCACTTATTTGGTATGTGCTCAGTGTCTCTTAGACACTCAGGTCTAAGGATCAGAGTATGCAAAGAACTCCCCAGAAAGACTCCACTATCCCTTTGATTCTCATTTTAAGTAACTTTTTTCATTTAAAAAATTAAATTTTCAATTATATGTAGTGACATTACATGTAACTTCCTTATGTGGCACAGGCCAAATATATCATACTGTCCGACAAAGTCCGGGTATGAGGGGGTGCCCCTGAAAAGTCAGGGACCCTGAAGATGGCTCCTACTGGATCTCTTTGTTTTGTTTTGGCCATTCCTGTATTTGCAACCATTTTTGCATTTGGATACATATGATGAAGTAAAAATTGATTTTACATTTGGCTATTCTAATAAAAGCAATTGGCTATCACTGTAAAGTTAATACAGCAAAATTAGACAGTGCTAAAAACATATTGTGATAACATGTTCCTGTCCAAACCAATAACGCAAACTCCCACATTGCACTACCGTCCAGATGTACACACTAAATTAAGCTCCGGCGGAAAAAAACTTTGGGAACCAAAAAGCTTAAGCCTTTGTTGTTCGGCCTTCAACTCTCCTATCTCTCTTAATGTTAGAACTAAGTACAGTAAACTTTTTCATTACTTACCCTGGTCTTGTTTTAAACTTTTTTTTAGGATGCTTTAATAAAAATGAGGATCCTTAGAAATTAACAATAAAAAAAAGCTTTCCTTTTGTTTTGCTAACCTTTCATCATAATATAAATAGAAATGTTAGTTATAACTATATAAATTAATCTGCCTGCTTTATCATTAGTAAATTGTTTGCCCAGCTACAAAAAAATAATAATAGTAATAACATCTTGCTTGTTAGCAGTGTGTTCCTTCAAAAATGATAAGTGTTATAGACTTGGCTAAAGATCAAAAGACTTCAAACTGTTCTTAGAAATATGCGATAGTTGTTATTTTTTTTACTCAATGCATTTGCTGATGTAATCCCACTGCTCTAAAACATAAAAATAAAAAGGACCTGCTGAGACTTGCAGCAGACGACACTTGCACCTGAACGAGTGTTTGTGTCCCTCATTCACCTTCACCTACACCGTCATTTCCTACAGGAACCTCTGTCACCCCAAATGTTGGAGCTGGTCTCCGGCACTTATGTAATGGAAAGAGTCCTTTTTCTCACATCTCATATCCGATGCATCAGCAAGTGTTGTGAGCAACCCCTTTGAGATGCATTCAATCAGCTGTCAGGTCACTGCTTACTACCCTGTTCTACTTTAAAGAATGAGCCTGTAAAAATATGTCAGATTTTGGGCCCTCCCTCGTGGCGCAGCAGGTTAAAGCACAGCACTAAGAAGCAAAAGCCACTTGCGCATGAGTTCGATCCCCGCCTGCCCTGGAGGTGACCACATGGTGTGGCAGACCTCCCCTGACCCGCCCGCTGCTCCCCTCAGCAGTGTACTTCGTCGATCTGCCTGTTCTGCTCCCCACTCTGTCTCTGGTGAAGCCTCTCGCCGCCCCTGAACCTCTGACCTGTACCCCACCTCTGTATGTGCAAATAAATAAATCTTTAAAAAAAAAAAATGTCAGATTTTGACCATCCTTTACTCAAGACCATCTGATGTCTTCCTATCTCAGTCAAAGTAAAAGCCAAGATCCTTTCAAGAGCTGTGTTTTCCACATAATTTTATATAATTTTCTTAATGCTCTCTAACTTTCTCCCCCACTCTACTCTTCCTGCCCAACTCCTAGAACACACCAGTCCTTCCTGGCTCCTTGCCGTGACAATTGCTATTCCTCCAACTTCGAATGCCCTGCTCTGGCTGGAAGAGGCCATTTCTGCTCCGCTTTCTTCTCTGACTTTTGATCTATGTTGAAAACCCACCTTGTTAGGGATGCATTCTCTGACCATGAAAAGGAAATGGTAATTTCTCTCTTCTGCCTTTCCTCTTCTGCTCCATTGTTTCCTCAGATAATTCTCACCATCTGATGCTTGATGACCTATCTGCATATACAATTTCCCTACTTACCCTCCAATGAGTTAAATGAATTTCATCTGTCTTGTCCACTCTATCCCTACTATCTACAACAGTGATACTGTACAGGAACTCAATAAATACTTCTTCAGTGAATCATGGAAGCATATACAATTATTTTTGTATCCCTATTTGCAGTTTTAACTCTAAGTTAAATTAAGTTAAAATACATCCCCATAAAGTGGATGAATCACTTATCATGCTCCTCACCACTCCCCTATTCTTGATAGTCAGATTACTTTCTCTTTCTTAACAAGAAATTCTACAACTGACATATTCTCTGATTTGTGAAGGAGAGTTTCCTGAAAACCACCCATATAGAGGCCATCAGGCACTATAGCAGGGGTCACTTTCTTCAGGCTGAAATTGGCTTCACCTCAACCTACTCAGCACCTGGCTTGCATGCACTTTTTCACCAGCTGTCAATGCTATTGTTAGCAACACCAGCAGTCATAACTCAGATCCCTCAACCTCATCCCTCTCTCTCATTTGTAACTTCAGTTCTAAAGCAGCACAGCTGCACGCTGGAATTGCAAAGCACTACATATTTCCAATACTTTGCCTTTACTACCGATAGCTGTAATTACCCTGATCTGGCATTCTGTGCTACTCAGCTGCCTCCTTACTTTATCTCAGAGCTTTGAACCTCCACTGAACACAGGAGTTAATGTGAGTTGTCTCTGAATTTGTATATGCATCGAATATAAGTTGCATGCTAGGTAAAACATTTTCCTACAAATGTTCTTCCCCATTTTAAATGTATATTAATGTTATGATTTACAACCTTCAAATTTATTCATAGTTACCTGGGAGCATTTATATCATTATATCTAGTTAATCAGTACCTTTTAAGGAACGTAAGCTCCATAGATAAAAGAATACTGGAAACCACTGCTCAAGGTCCAGCTTAATTAATCAGGTTATTAACTCCAGTCAGTCACAAGCAACTCACTTCTGGCCATGTGAATGGAGCTCTAATGCAGTCATTTCCTAAACATACACTGTCATCATGCCCTTGGTAATTCAGTCAAAAGTAGATTCCCGCATGTCTCCTTATTCACAAATCTGACTCATGAACCTTGGAAGACTGATTAAGTTGAACATCACTAGATATGTCACTAACTATTTCTAATCCTGAGTTCCCTTTACTGTAAAAGGAAGTTAACACTATCACTAGGAGGCTGTACATAAGCTTGGCACAGAGAAGGGCTTGGTTTGCACAAAGGTTACCTTGCAATTCTACTAAGGTTGCTATTTATTATGCTAAATATAGCCGATCCATTGTCAAATTCCCTCTTCATTCCCACCAATGCAATTGAGACCCTGGTTAATTTATTCCCCATGGATGTAGTACTTAAGCCAATACGTCTCAGATTGCAATTTCTAAAAATTCACATGTAGAGTGCGACACCTCTTATTTAAAGAACTTCAAGAGCCATAACTAAATTGCGACTGTTGCCTATCTTTCTGGTCTTCTATAAAAGATTGCATCTGAACTGAATGAAGTGTTTCTAGTCCAGCACCATTACTGAATTGATTATGTGTTCCTATCTCACACACACACACACCCATTAAATTACTCACAAAGCTAACTGCAATGTCCCCTTCTCCAGAAAGTCTTACACGGCTCATCATGGAGGAACCCCTCCCACCATCCACACAATTTGCACCACACTATGTACTGTGTGGCTTGTGCCATGTGCTGTGCTGGTGTGAGACTACTTTGCTCTTGGCTGCTGGAGCATAGGGTCTCAGGGAGTGGGGATTGAAAGTGCTACCAAGAATTCTTCATTCAGTAACATACGGACAGGCATGTGGTATGAAAACAGTGCAAACAGAAGCCAACAGAAAGGCAATAGAGAAACACACTCAAGTGCTCATGCAGCAAAAGCTGAAGCCCCAAGCACATCTACTGCATGCAGCACTTACCCGTGTTAGGTCTACCAAGCCCCTGCTCAGAACAACTGGAAGAGCGAAAGAGTTTCAAGTGGGGTTTTAGACCATGGATTAAATGCTGACGACTTCTACAGTGATTACAATAACCTGGAGAAAGTTGAAAGTTCTTTTAAAAATATCTATACATATATATGTATATAGATCAAATTTTTTTTAAAACTAGAAAGCAGGTTCAATCATTTTCAAAACTAGCCAAGTTCATAAAATCAGTCACAAATTTTGTGCAGCAGAAAATTGCGGGGCTTTAAGGCAGATTTGAAAAAAAAAATAACAGTTAATTTATAAGCTACAGAAACTGATGGTTGAGGATAAAACTTGATACATTTCTAGAAGGAAAAGAAATGAAATTTCTTCTGTAAAAAGATAGAAAGTACATTTAATATTTTTTCTTGTATAAACTGTTATTATTTTGGAAATGCTCAGTCATTCTGCTACCATCAGAAATAGGAATTGTGGTTTTATGACTACTTTGTGCAAATAAAACAATAAGTCTTCTAAAATGATGCAAGCAAAGGCATGGTTTTGAAGAGGATGAGCTAGCGAACTCCCAACGCCACTCCTTCAATTCCATTATAGAAAGACAGATTTTAGAAACAGGTATATAGTTTCTGGCTATGGAGGAGTGTACACAAGATTAATTCTAGCAAAGACAATGACTTACTGGAGATGCTGTCAATGCTGCTGACGCTGTCTGCATTGTGCATCTGGTGTCGGTAAAGCTGCTTGTAGAGACTAAATTTGGAGAATTTACTAGGCTTTCCTATTCCTTTCAGTTTTGAATCCATTTCATCACCACTCTTCAGATTGGGCAGATTTTTGCTGGGTTCATTTTTATGTTTGAGGTTTAAAGATTCCATGGACTCTGTTGTTTCAACCTGAAAAAGTTATTATTATTTAAAAAAGACATTGCACAAAGAAGGCTACGCTGCACTGTAATCTGGTTCTGTAAATTAAGGCAAGCTGGGGTGTAAGTACTTGATGGTGGCTCCCTTTTTAGATTCACAATGTGTGGTTCGGTACCAGCCAAAAGATCCCCAATGGGGGAATCATGTGAATTGTATAAATACTACAAAAAGAATTCCAGGGGATGCACTGTAGTCTTCCTTTAGGAGGCCAAATTCCTGAAATTATATACCAATTAATCTTCTTATCTCAAATAGAGGTTCAAGAGTTACACTCACTCTTAAGGTTCTGAATTTCTTCCCTTGATTATCATTAAGTGATGCTTTCTCTGGCAAGCATATTCCCTGCTACTTATTCACTGATAGCTATTTTCTCAGACAGATCACCATCAGCTCCCACAATGGGATGGAGACTATCAAAAAATATGAGTATATTGATATCTTGGTAGCCACTTTAGTTAAAATAATAAGCATCTAAATCTGGCATATAACTATTTTGGGAACTCTTGATAGGAAAAGTACTCTGAGATGTTATAAACCTAAGTGACCCTGGACTGACCTCAGAATTCCTAAATGATCCCACTCATTCTTCCATTTTTGCAAGCCTTTAAATAACGAAAGTCCAAAAATAGCTTGTCATTTACTTCTATTAAGAATGCACATTGTTATTTAACTGAAGTCTCAATTGCTGCACATTTTTGTTTGTATACATTTTTTTTTCCAAATAGGAAATCAGTCTTTAAATGGAAAACAATGGAACTGACTATAAGGTAGCAAATGTTCTATTGGAGCTATTTCTTTTTCCAAGAGAGACTAAGACTAAGAGATGCAAAGTTACAGAATAGCTAGGTGGTAAGTTGGTTTTGAAATCATCTCTATCTGTTGTTCAGCTCAATACTCTTTACTCCTCCAGAGCAACCTTTCATTCACTCCATCAGCCTTGCTATGAAGACATATGTATAAACTAGGAAATTTTAAGCAACTCCGTAAGGTGAATCTTACCGAGAGGGAACTCAGGATTGGCCCCACAGCAACACGCTTCACACTGCCCACGTCTGTGAGTCTGTGCTCATTATCATCCCACCTTCCATAGGCCAGGTCAATGCCACCAACAAAAGCCACAGACTGGTCAATGATAACAAGTTTCTCATGATGAGCCCAAAGATAAACAGAGGACGACACATGATCGGGGTGCCTCATCACCTTGAAAGGGAAAAGAACCCTGACAGGTAACACACTACTCAAAATGCCCTTCATATTATAGTAAAACAGGTACATTTTCTCATCTCAATAGCATTCTGTATAATTCCAATGCCAAGATGTGCTATGTATATGCTCCCGCCTGTGCCCCCTCCTAAAAATAAAACCTATCCAGACATCTAATTTTATGTTCAGTATTGAGCAGGGGAAGAACATTCTTAGTTACTTTTTTTTTTTAAAGATTTATTTATGCATACAGAACTGGGGTACAGGCCAGAGGTGCAGGGGCCATGAGAGGATTCACCAGAGGCAGAGTGGGGAGCAGAACAGGCTGACTGACAAAATACACTGCTGAAGGGAACAGCCATCGGGTCAGGAAAGCCATGTGGGTCACCTCCAAGGCTGGGGAATTGAACTCGCTTTGAAACAGCTGTGGCTTGCTTGCAGTGCTGTGTTTTAACCCACTGCACCACCAGGAAGGGCCCACTGCCATCTCTAACTTTAGGACAACTGTATTCCATTTAGTTTGAAGTTTGGCCACACATTTCAATAAAAGTCAGTTCACTATAATATTCATACTTGACTTTCCTGCCATCAACTCTAAGAAAGATTAAATTTACCATTATTTTTAAAACTTAATATAAAAACTTCAATATCTGATTTTGGGAAAATTTTTAATATTTTGTAGCATTTTTATCACTAGAGGATTTTGAATTTTTTGTTAAATGTTTTCCTCTATCAGTTGAGATGGTCAATTTACTTTGTCTTTATTAAATTAATCAATTATCATGGATAGAACCATTTTTGCTTTGGGGACTACATCACAGTTAGTCATAGTGTATAATCCTTTCCATATGTTGCTAAATCCTGTTTGGTAGTGCTGTCTTTAAGATTTCTATATCAATGTCTGTAGGTAGGTATATTTTTTAATAATGGCTTTGCTGTCAGGCAAATGAATTTGCTCACAGAATGAATTATTATTTCACCTCTTATTCCTTTGTTTTGAAAAGTTTGAGAATGATTAGTGTTTGTTCTTTCTTAAATGCTTGGTAGAACATTATGCTTAAAAGCAGAAAAATCTGAAATGTACGATGTAACTTTACAACTTAAGAAACTAGAAAAAGAACCAACTAAAACCCAAGCTATCAGAAGGAAGGAAATGAAGATTAGAACAGAAATGAAGGGACTAGAGAACAGACAAACAATAGAGAAAATCGGCAAAACTAAGTTAGTTCTTCAAAAAGACCAACAAAATTGACGAACTCTTAGACAGATTAGGAAAAAGAGAGTAAAACTCAAATTTCTAAGATTAAAAATTATAATGAGGTTATTATTGCCAATGCTAGTGTTTCATTCATTAGTGAAGTTTTCAGATCCAGAACTTTCATTTTTATCGATGGGAAACTTCTTAATGCTGATTGAATATCCTTGCTAGCTATAGGTCTGTTCAGAATTTCTATTTCCTTGTGGCTCAGTTCTGACAGATTTTGAGTTTCTATGAATTTTCCCATTTTATCTAGGTTATACAATTTGCTAGCATTTAATTGTTCATAGTTCTATATATAAAATAATTTTTATTCCTGTAGTATTGGTAATATGTCCTCATTTTAATTTTTAATTTTAGTAATTTGAGTTTTACTCTTTTTTCTTAGTTAGTCTTACTAAGGGTTTATCAATTTTGTTGACCTTTTTGAAGAACTAAATTGGTTTTGCTTATTTTCTCCAGTTTTTCTATTCTTTCCTTCTGCTAACTTTGGATTTAGTTGGTTGTTTTTCTAGATCCTTAAATTTAAAGTTAGGTTTATGTTTCAGATTCTTCTTCTTTTTCAATATAAGCATTTTTAGCTGTAAATTTCCCCATTGGCAAGGTTTTCTTTCACTGAGTTTTGTAAGTTTTGATATACTATATTTTAATTTTAATTTGTCTCCAGATATTTTCTAATTTCCTTTGTGATTTCTTTTGTGATCTACTGGTTGCTTAAGAGTATTTTCTTAATTTTCACAAGTTCATACATATTTCAATTTTACTTCTGCTACTGATTTCTTATTTCATCCTGTTGTGTGGTCAAAATTATTCTTGTGCAATACATGCCTTTTCAAATATTAATATTTATTTGTGCAATCATATATATTTATCCTGGGAAGATGTCACATGTGATTTTGAGAAGAATATATTTTGTTGTTAAGTGGAGTGGTTTTTATGTCTGTTAGATCTAGCTGGCTTACTTATCATTGATGAGACATTGCCATCTTGAATGAGTGACATTTGTTTGGGACTTCTGGGCACTGCAGGCACTGTCTAGGGTAAGATAGCTGGCCATTTGTGAGATTAAAAACTCTGTTTTCCTAATATCCTGTTTAGTAAGTAATGCTATTTTTTGTAGTTCTGTGAGCCAGAGTGGTCTTGCAATTAAGCACATGCATGAGAACCCACAGACAGTGACCTGTCCTCACCTTGGCCCTCTGAAATATACTACAGTCTGTTTCAATTAATTCATAAAAGTCTAAGTATTCTTTTTTAAATAAAGGCAGGTTTATTAGGAAAAGGGATTAAAAGAGAGGCACCCATATAGTCACTGGTAGGTAGGGCGGTTGAAATAAGTATCATTTTTAAAGGAGTAAAAGCACATATAAGCTCAGAATCACAAAGCTATCTGACCTGAAAATTTTAATTCCTTTATCTGTATTTATTTCTAATACATTTTTTACAATGTAGAGTAGTTGGTGGGATCAACCCCACACTTTCATTTATTTGTGATCAACTTTTATTTGTTGTATGTTACTTAAAGACAGGATCTTTTCATCTTACAAGTATAGTTTCTTGCCCATGATAGGTAATTGAAAGGAATCTGGTAAAAGAATATGTAACTTTTTAGAAATGATGCTACTGATAATTATATTCTGTGGAGAAAACATTTTCAATTCTTTTAAACAAGAAAAATATATACTTGTCATATACTTTAAGCTTGCTGGAGATTTAGTTTTTCTTGATGTCTCACAATGACTAGACAATACTGCAGCTTTAGTTCTTTATAAAGTAGCATGTAGCTTTGCAAAACACTTATCACTTTCATTACTTTATTAGAAATTTTATGACATGCTATTTATAAAATGTCTTTAAATTCCTGAGAAGCTCTCCTTGCTGCTCTCAGCCTTCTTGGGATATCACAGAAAGATCACGTCTAAGAGATTCTAAGATCTCCTTAATGCAGAATATAGAACTCAACAAGTTCTTGAGGGATCCTGATCGACAACCCCATGGTATCTTCACTTTTAAAACAAATTTAGAAAGCATGTTCTTCCCTAAATGATTAGGGTAAGAGGCACAAAACTGAACTCTCCTGAATCCATCATGTTAGAAGGGTAAGCATGCATAATACTTTGTTTTATTTTTGAGAACACAATGCAACTATTCAAAATAGTTGCAGATTAACCACTCTTCAGAGCAACACATATCTGAAAAACTCTTACAGACAATAAAAAAGAAACAATGTTCAGAAATACCTTTATGTTAGAGTGCAGACGCATTAAAGTTCTTTTGCTGTATTCACTGTTGATTCCAAGAGCAAGTTCTACCTCTTTGTACAGCATTATGAAGATCCTCACCCCCTGTTGCTTTAAGAGAAAACACAGCGAGGAATTAAAACCTCTGGTATAAAGTCATGATTTTCTTTCTCATCTTCATTTCTCTGTATTGCACTTCCCAAACTTTCTTATATTAGTAAAATATATAACAAAATAGCTAACGAAAAAGGCAATAAGAGGTGAGCCATAAATGTATATTCAGAGAGGAATGTCAGAAATAGAAATGTACCTCCCTTCCCGTTCCATTCCTAAAAGGCAATAGGAGGTGTCTTGCATATTAAGACACAATTATCAGAAATAAAAACATATCTCCCTTTCATTCCATTCCTTGGCATGGTTTGTATACCAAGACAAAATGTCAGTTTTTGATTAATTACAGTCAGAAAAGTGAAATTGTAATCCCAACCATTAAAAGTATCTGATAGTCACATGTGCTTGGATATTTTCTAACACCCCTCATTGAGCAAAGTTTTGACCTAATTTATGCTATAGGATTAGGAGTTTTTGTTTGTTTTCATTGCACCTCAATTCATTGAAATAATACAGTTTTCAAAACTCTGATGCAATAAATTATGCTAAATGTATCCCTTATATGTTTCTGAGGTACTTTATCCTAGAATTTTTGTTTATTTAAAAATAATTTAGGGCCTTCCTTAGTGGCGCAGGGGGCTAAAGCACCACATTGCAAGCTAGCCACAGCCACTTCAGTGCAAGTTCAATCCCCAGTCCTGGAGGTGACCCACATGGTGTGGCAGACCTCTCCTGACCCACCTGCTGCACCCCTCAGCAGTGTACTTCACCAATCTGCCAGTTCTGCTCCCTACTTGTCTCTGGTGAATCCTCTCACTCCCCCTGCACCTCTGGTCTGAGCCCAGTTCTGTATGCATAAATAAACAAATCTTTAAAAAAATTATTTAAGTGGAAAATAATTATTTAATCTTCAAAGATGAATGTGTTGGTTTATACTCTTAGCTCACAAATAAATTCCTAATGTCTATTTCAGTAGTAAATAACTTCTTCAGGCATCAGCTTCTCTAACATTCAAAAATCTGTTTAGCAGCAGCACACAAATTAATATTGATTTATCTTAGATCTTGGACATAAAAGAAAAGAGGGCCTTTGGGAAAGCCCAAAACTTTAAATTAAAACTTCTTGGTAAGTTTCACCATGCAATATAAATAATATCCATTACTATTATTAGCCATTACAGGATAATACCCAGCAGCTGGTAGTATAGAAAAGTAGTCAAAATAGTATTTTTTTTAGTTCTGAATCGTGACAGTTTAGCCTATGTTAAACCTACTTTATTTACTCTCACTAAAATCTTGTTTTGCTTTTCAGGTTTGAATCCTCAGTATTGCTTTGCTATTTGCAATATTTTAATTTGCATTTTTGTTAGCCAGCGACTCTGAAAGCATTATGAAACTTATTGCATACATATTCACTTATGTAGGCATTTAATATCCTATAAATTAAAGCAAATAATTTTTCCATAATACTTTTTAGAATATTAGAGAGGCAGGCATATCTAATAAACCATAGTGACAAAGAATATTTTAGTTATGGCTTAAATTAATAATCCGTGGTAATTAAGAAACATTCATAATGGAAATTTGAAATAAAAATTTAAGATAATATTTGGTTGAACATATCTAATTTACTAGAACTGAAAGATTTTGCAAAACTATAGAAATGAGAAATAAACACAAGTTAATATTTTTAAGATGGTCACAGGATGTAAAATCTTGTAGTAAACCACATATATAGTTTCCCAATATTGCTCTGTTAATACTACAAAGTATATTTTGGCCTCTACATTCCTTTCTTCCTATTATGCTATATAATATTATATTATAAAATAAAATAGCATGTAATATTGCTTCAAAATAATAATACTCTCTCTTAGTGTTAGGGATAACTGAAAATATTTTTGAGGTGATATATGTATTAATATCAATTTGCAATATAATGTGTTGGAGCAACACATTGTGTTTATGTTGAAGGCTGCGTTAAGGAAGCTGAATATTAGGAGAAAAACCTAACTTTGCTCTGAAATAAAAACTGTATAAAAACTAGAACATTGTTTTATTTTTCCCCCCTATTATTCAGGTTTACTTCACTATTTTAGTATTTTAGGATTCAACATTAAGTAACAATCACAAAATAACCTTCCTATTGAGTGATATGGTACAAAATTTAAGCCCAAAATTTCAACCTAAATTATACCACATTACATTTGACTCCTTTCACCTTGGTTCGTTTCAACTGGATGAAACTCTGCATTATAGGCTTATGAAATTATTATTCATGAAGGGTGGTAGTTGCAAATTAAAAGTATCCTGAGTCTTACACTTTGCCATCTACCTTCCTAACTAATGGTTTTTTGAGAGAGAGATGTTAGCTTAATGGATTATATTATTAGCCTCCCTCTATTAATACTTAACATTTTCTCCTATAGTATGTTTTCCCTCACTGAAATATATTAACTCTAATAGTAATAGGGCAGACTTTTAAGTCTTTTTTAGCGTAAGTGTAAATGACTAACAAGGAAGTAGTTAAATATAAAAAGTTCATTTTTGTGTAGCCTGGTTAACAGCTATTTATTTATTTATTCTCTTATTCACAATAAACAGTTAGTGACAGAATTTCTGTAATAATAAAATGAATTCCTCTTCTTTTAGTATTATAATGCTATCATAAACTGAGCTATAAAGAGGAAAAGAAAAATTCTTTGGCAATGAAAGTTGTAAGAACGCAGATTTATATAAAATGTGGGAAAATCCATATAACTAAACCCAACATTAGCAATAAAAGAACTAATGTTAATTCTGTAATTTGAAAAATGCACGTCTAAAGCATCCATTGTTTTGCCAATGCCTTTTAGTGGCCTTAGGGGAATTGTTTATTATTTAGAGAGCAGTATGTACTGAGGAAACTAGGAAAACAGATGGCCTAGAGTGGACTATGCAGTGTTATAGTTTCATCTCTGCTGAACTCGACTATTGATAACATGAATTCTCCACAGAATAAACTTCACGAGGTCTGAATTTTGAAAGATGAAAGTTCTGTTTTATTTTTTCCTTTAGCTTTTAATCAAGATAGAAACAGTAGGAAGTTTTAGGAGTTTTACATATATAAAGTACATGTCTAGACAATGAGAAAAAAACTTTTATAGTAAAATCAATGAGGCTGATTTTTTAGCTAGTTTATTCCCTCTGGTTGCTCAAAGTACGTAATCAAAATATTTCCCAAATGCAACCAAGTTTTTTGACCAAAGAGAGTTTAATTTGCAAATCTCCAGGATAATCAGTAATTGTATCACTTTTCAAGATATTCCCCAAGGACTTAAGATATTTCCAATAATGTGAAAATGAGAAGTAAAGGAGGGAAAAAAGGAGTTGTATCCCTGCAATTTAAAATCAGACAGCACTGGTATATAAGAACCCAAATGCCCAGGTGCTTTTTCGTTTACCAGTTTTTATTAAATGGCATTCCTCAATGGCAAAGACACACTCTCTCCTTCCCAACTATGTACTTCTAGCTCACTACTTTGATAAGATTCAGTCTTTTTTTTTTCTCTTCATCTCATTTGACAGCCTGGACAGATTTCTCTCCTATTGATTACTGATCGCAACTCTAAAATGAGAAACTAGAACTGTTTCGGTAAGCCTCCAAGTTGCTACTTTCGAAGATTACTTTGATGCAAATCTCATCAACTCTATTACATATTTACTTCTAAGGCTGAAATATACAAGTTGGGTATAGACATACAATGACCATAACTCTGAGCTAATGTTTCTAGCTTCTTCCAGAGTAAATGCAGAACTGTGGGAATCCCTCAGATGCTGATTTGGGTTGTAAACAGTTTGTCTCACATGATTTGCTTATATTAAAAATAGTGCACTGTTATCAAAAGTTCAAAGAAACAGGAAAACATCAATTTGTTATTGCCATAAAAACAAAAATTGTACTTTCTCCCTATGAAGCAGCAATTATATAAGGCAGATAAACTAAATCCCTTCTAAAAAAGGATGCACAATCAGATAGAAGGGGAAAAATCATATATTGTAATCAATCTGTGGACCTTTGGGACTCATTAATGCAAAAATAGATGTTGTTTTCAACCCATTACTTTGCAAAGCTAGTGGTTTTCTGAAACTAAATTATTTATGTGAAGCAGTGCTATGAACATCTGAAATGTCAACTTGGAATGATCTGAATGTTAAAAATTTATGAAAAATAACAAAATAATGTAGCTAAATTAAGGAGGAAATTCTGCTAAGTGAACTACTGAGAAATTAATATTTAATAGTGTTATTATTTCCTGGAGAATTTTTTTAAGTCATTACAGGCATTTAAAAATTGTAAGTTTCAGTAAACAAATGAAAATTGGAACAAAGCATCATTTCAGGCAATGAGGTTTACTTGGACGTGGTGTTGACTTGAGCCTTCACCAGGGCTCATGGTTCATTAAAGCAAAGAGAAGTATTGTGGACACTGGAAGAATTAGAAAACATGTATTAGCTAACACAGGGTAAGGACCCAGCCTGCAGGTGCTTATTCCTGAAGTCTGTGTCCATTTTCTAAGTGCTGTAGAGTTTATTTACATTTTTGATAAGCAACTAACACCCAAATGACCTGAGTCATCTTTACTTTTCACTACCAGGTGCCCCTTCCAGCACATCATTTTGATCAAATTGCCCTTGGTCCAGAAAATCTCCCCCTCAATCCCATCCCCAACAGTAGTTCTCACTGCTCCAAGCAAATGACTCACAGAGCTTCCACTTCCGAGCTGCCAACTATCTTTCCTGCTTGATCCGCCATCTTACCTACATAAGACCTGGGCTTTACCAGTCCAGTCATCTTGCTGTGACCAACAAACCTACCTGAACTCCTGTCTCCAGAACATTTCCTATACCTAGAAATTTCATCTTTACATTAAAAAGTTGCTTGCCCATCATAAATAGCCTAACCCCTTTTGTTGTGAGAGGATAGGCTTCCTTACTGGCCTGCCAGTGCTCTCTCTCCTGAAACGTGACATTGTCCCTGTGCCTAGTTGATGCTTGCTTGAAAAGATTTTTAAGCTTTCTCAGATCAAGAATCATGTACTTTGTTTACTTACTTCCCCATGTGAGTAGTCAAGTGCTCTGCACAAAGGTATTCAGCAAATAGGTGCTGATTAAACCTTATAGTAAGTACCAAGTTTGATGATAGCCAGGCAAGACTGGAAAAACTAATTGAAGTGGACTCTTCAGAAGAAAAGTGGAAGGTGCCATGTCACAGTGAGAAATGTAGAGAAAGATATAGCCCATTTAACATACAACATTTAATATACAGTAAGCAGGTGGTATATCTAGGACTGAACCCAGGAAATGAGTCCTACAGCACCCTCCATGAGAGGGAATGGAATCTTTTTCACACCTGCATCACCCTTAATTAGTGCGGCACTCAATAATTCTATGCTGAGTTATTTAATGAATAAGCAAATAGTACTTTTCAGGACCAGAATTTCTAACTCAGTTTAGACAAAGAATTACACTAGCAATAAAAATGATGCTGTTTGGCAAAACAGCATTTATTTTTAATACTGACAATGAAGTTGAACTATATCAAAGAATCTCTAGAATTCCCAAAGTAAAAGTATGGGGCAATGTCACTAAAAAAAAAAAGGAAAATTGAGTGGGGAAAGAGGAAATTAATGAAACCTGTGAGAGCCAGAAATAGGCCAGGTCCAAATAATTATGATCTACAAACTTTGCTAAAATGTTTAAAGATAACATAAAGAACATTAAGAGAGTTTAAAAAAATAGTGAAAGGCTAGATTAATTGAGGCATAATTTATTTATTTATTTATTTGTTTATTTTTTTTAAAAGATTTATTTATTTTTGTATACAGAACTGTGATACAGGCCAGAGGCTCAGGGGCGGCGAGAGGCTTCCCCAGAGATAAAGTGGGGAGCAGAACAGGCAGATCGACGAAGTACACTGCTGAGGGGCGCAGCGGGCGGGTCAGGAGAGGTCTGCCACGCCATGTGGTCACCTCCGGGGCAGGCGGGAATCAAGCTCATGCCGAACTGGCTTTAGCTTCTTAGTGCTATGCTTTAACCCGCTGCACCACCAGGGAGGGCCAAGACATAATTTATAATAAATCCAAAACTAGTCTAATCCAACTTACCTCTAACATAGTTGAATGTCAACCACACTTAAAAAGAGCATCAGAACTACTATTGGAAAGTAGTCGTTAGTAAGCTTATACCGCTCCAGTTATTTACATTTTCTCTTCTAACAAAAAGCACAATCGGTGCTTACCCAGAATCTATAGGGTCAATTATATAGGAACCAGTTTGACATTATTGTCATAAACTGTCCCCAAACTGAAACCAAAACAGTATCAATTCTTAATGTCTCTCTCCATTGATATTCTTTATTATCATCTCAGTGAAGATCATTTGACTGAAATTATTCTCTAAATGGCTATGTTTTCCTCAAACACCAGAATAATGACCATAACTGTTATGTTACATTTCATCACTTATTAATTAATGGTAAAATGTTATTAGATTTTTCTGCCTATAAAATTAACTGCCCATAGCTGGTTTTAAAGCAAAGATGAGAGATGTTAATATAGCCCATGCTGTGAATTAAGCTAAAATATTTATGTACTCAAGAGTAATAAGAAAAAAGAATTAAATGAACTCAAAATCAGTAGGCATTCTACTTTTTATCAAATTATAAAGAATCATGTTTTTAATGAAGAGGTTTGAAAATGAAAAGACATGTAAAAGTAAGTAAACATTTTAAAAATTAAACCAGCAGTTGTGTGGAAAATACATACTGCTTTTCGTTTAAGAATGCAGTCCAACCTCCAACGATTTCCTTCAACCACTGGGCGTTTCATGAAGATTTCTGGACTCAACCTGAAATTATGAAACCAAGATTTCAAGAGGTTAAAACAAAATATAAAGTTCTGGAAGCAAAGGTAATTTTAGCCCTTATGTTATCATCATCCATCCTGCACTGTACTGAGTCACCCAAACTTTGCTTGAGTCCACCTACCACTTTCAAAAGCCTTTTTCTATGCAAAAGCCATGTAGGTCTCTCTCTTATACAGGCATGCATACAACACACACATGTGCAGATACTAGAGGTCCTCCAACCCACAGCCATTCTTTACCTTCTCTTTTATGCTGTCAGAGTCTACCTCCCACTAGACTCTGGGATACTTGCTTTCCCATATTCCCATGCAAAAAAAGCACAACATGATGCAATTCTAGATAGGGAGATGCATGTGGAGGTGTGCATGGGGTTAATGGGAAATTTTGTAAAAGACACATACACAAACAGCCAGGAAGAGGCTTTCAAATAGATGTTGTTTGGGGACATAATGATTATAGTGATGCAGACATATTGAACTTCTAAGGGGAAGACAAGACAGTTAAGATCACTAGACACTGCATCAATTCTAGGACTGCCTGACTTTGTATTTCTTATCAGGTGAGATAAATAAATACTTGTTTAAGCATATATTAGTTGAGCATTCTATTAACCCAAGCTGTAACTTTTCTAATTGACAGATATATGTACACTGCCTTCCTATATCAAGTGTCCATGGGACTTCAGATTTCCTGAGTAGAGGAGAAGATAACCCGGCTCACAGATGAACTATTGTCAATGTGAGAATGAACCCCAAGGCTGACTTTTCCCCTTGGGGTTGAATTCTAAAGTCGATGTCTGGGTTAAACTCTATGTGATTTTACTTCCTTATGATAAGAGGAAACAAGTGTGCAAGATGCATACTGATTTCTGACATGTTAAAATGTACTTTTAAATAAATGTTCCTTTTAGAAGATTTTAAAACTGTAAGTGTTTATATGAGAAAGACAATTTTCAAAATCAATGATCAAAGCTGTCATAAGAAGAAGAAAGAAAAAAATAATAAATTAAACCTCAAATAAGATGACAGAAAGAAGATAAATTAGAATTAAAAGCAATATAAAAAAGAAAAATAACAGACAAAACTTAACGAAATCAAGGCTAGCTCTTTGATTGGATGAATCAAGTTGATAAATGTCTGGCTAGATTAAAAAAGGAATAAGGAGTTTGACTACATTAGATTGGAACTTATTTCACTCAGTAAAATGTCTCCATATTCACCCAGGCTGTTATAATTGGCATGATTTCCTTTAAAAAGTGAGTAATATTGCATTCAGTGTTCATATCTTTATGGAATTTTTGGTGCTTCCATTCTTGATTATTTATAAAAAATGTTGCAATGAGCATGAGAATGCAAATATCTCTTTATGCACTGATTTCAATGAATTTGGATATAGATCCAGAAATGGGAATGCAGAATTATGTGGTAATTCTACTTTTAATTTTTTTGAGGAAACTTCATAATGTTTTCCATAGTGGCGGTACCAATTTATATTTCCAGAAACAAGGGCTCTTTGAAAGGTGATTCAATACCAGGGACTGGGGTGAGAACAAATCAGGAGGTGTTGGCCAAAGTGTACAAAGTTTCAGTTATGCAAGATGAATGGCTCCTTAAATAGAGAATTATATTTAACTTTTGGAGGTGATGTTTAGGTTGATGGCATTATTTGTGGTGATGGTTTTATGAGTTGACACTTATCTCCAGCCTCATCAACTTGAATATATTATGTGTATGGTTTTTAAATGTTCAACCATACCTAAATTAAATGGTTTTTAAAAAGAGATCATATAAACACACGATCATGGAAGACATATCATGTAATCTCAGATGAAAAAATACATAAACTTGCCATAATGGATATTTTGTAAAATATATGTATGCTTATATACAAGATTAGAGAAGCAAAAAAAAGTTATAAAAAAGGGAGAAGTATAAATTATCAATATGAAGAAAAGGAATGAATAAAATATAGATCACTACAAAGTCTGCATATGTTAAATTAACGATAAATGGTAATAGAAGAATATTATAAATACCTTTATATGAATAAATGATACTTTAGGGGAAAAAAGGAAACTTCTGTAGGAAATAACTTATTAAAATATAAATAAATATATTGAAACTCTTTCTGTATATACAGTATTTTAAAAACTAAATTCATGATTTAGAAAATTGCCTGATCCTTTGAAGTCATAGTTAAACATCCGTATATATGAAAGCTATCGCAAAGATGTATAGTATAGTATGCCACAAAGTAGCAGGAGGAGGATGCATTGTTCCCCTCTTCCTTTAAAACTTTTATGCTGATTTCTTATTAACTTACCTGATGCATTATTGTCATTAAATCTTGCTACACAGTATAAATATAAACCTGCAAAAGGATGAGCAGGGAGACTTGCACCCAACTCCAACTCCCGTGTCTTCCTCGCTCCCCTTTCCCCTTTTTCTCCTTTTCCCCTTTTTTAGGATTCTCCGCTGGCCTATGCCTTCCCACCTTAGGGCCCTGCCTGTCTTGCCTCCAGAGACACCTCGATAGTTGGAGCTGGTCTCCAACACCAACCACTAGGTGGAGCACTTAGAGGCCGTGTCTGAACAATACAGCAAAGGCTGAAAACAACATTAAAACCACACAGACAAATGGCTAATTGGAACGTTCGGCCTGGAACGGAATCAATTGTCCACTAAAACAAACTGTCGACATTATTCACAAGATATACATAGATCCAGAGTCAGACGAAAACCAGTTCCAAACCCTACAAACATAACTATAGAATTGAGACTACCAGAGATGGGATGGAGAAACACAGTGGGGAATGCGTGTAATGGCCTATGGTAGAGGATGGTGGGACCTTGCTGGTGGCTGTGATATGGTGACTTGTACAGAGGAGGTGTGAGTCTATGCTTCTGAACTACACAGACTGTTGTAAACCAATGTTAATCAATTAAAATATATTTTTTAATATTTTTATTAATTTAAAAAATAAATTTAAAAAGACCTAAAAGAATCTTTTTGATATTCAAAACTTCCATAATAAGTTTTTTTAATAACTTGGCATATCAAGATCAGAAAATTCTCAACTTAAAGGAAAATGACAATCGATAGATGTCAATGGCAAGATGCCACAGATGCTGAAATCAGTTATTCTAATATTTGTTAGATATTATCAAAATGTTCTGGCCAGTAAGATGAATAGTCTTGATATCAATGGAAAGACAGAAAATCTCACCAAAGGAAAAAAAAATGGAAGTTTCAAAGTGAAAAATACAGTTACAGAAAAGAAACTTACTGAGAGACTGAATACCAGAATAGAGGTGACAAAGGAAATAATTAAAGATAGACATTATCCAACCTGAATAACAAAGAGAAGGAAAAAACTGAAAAATAAAAAGTCTCAGAGACCTATGGGACAATACTAAATAACAGTAATTGTACAAGAGTACACTCAGAAAGAAAGAAGTAAGAAGTGCAGGAAGAGCCTAGAGAAATAATGGCTTGAAATTTGGTGGTGGGTGTACTGTTGTAACATTCCTCTGAGAGGTATGAGTCAAATTATGATTCAATGTAAATCATCATTACAATAATAATTGTAAAAGTACTAAAATTTAAAAATGTCATTCAACATAAAAATTCACAAATTTGCTAAATCACACAAATCAAGATTCAAGAAGCTCAGTGAATCACTAAGAGAATTCACCTGAACATAATAAACTACTGAAAATTAAAGAGAAAAAAATATTAAGACAAACAATCTAGAAAATTGAGGAAAAGAAAGATTTGAACGTATGATTCCAAAAAACTCAAATATGTTTTTAAAAATTACAGGAAGGGCCCTCCCTGGTGGCACAGCCGGTTAAAGCACAGCACTATGAAGCTAAAGTCACTTTGGCATGAGTTCAATAGCCACATGGAACGGCAGACCTCTCCTGACCTTCAGCAGTGCATTATGGGGTCAGTCTGCCTGTTCTGCTCCCCACTGTTTCTGGTGAATTCTCTCACCACCCCTGCACCTCTGGCCTGTACCCCAGTTCTGTATGCATAAATAAATAAATCTTTAAAAAAAATCACAGGAAAATGTGTTTCACGTAAAAAGATTTTTCCTGATCTGCCTTGTTTAGCTTCGCTTATCTCATCTATAATTAAGTCTCTGGCATTTAATTAGAATTCACCAAATATTAGCCATTACTACTGACGTTACTTCCACTATGCCTTAGAAATTACTTTATAGAAAGTTTGACATGACTTCCCCAGTATATTTAGTACTTCAGTCCCCTGAGTACATGAAGTACATTTAGTACTTCAGTCCCCTAAGCTGACCCTTACCACTTCCCTCGTGAATGATACAATAGTTCTCTAAATGATCTCAATAACCATTGTTATAGAGTGGTTCCTCTTCAACACTGAATAAAATGGTTCCTTTTGAAAACAAATGCAATAGTATTTTCCATGCTTAAGATTTTTCAGTGGTTTCCAATGTTAACAGGGTTAAGTACAAACTCCTTAGCAGCTCATCCACTGTCCTTCACAACTTGGCCCTAGCCATCATTTGAATATCAACTCTACACTATCACAAAAAATGTTGTATTGTCCTCCCTTGTGGCACCACAAGTTAAAGCGCAGCACTATGAAGTTATCAGCAGCCACTGCAGAATGAGTTCGATCCCTGGGCAGACGGGTGACCCACATGGCATGACAGACCTCTCTTGACCACCCTGCTTTTACCCTCAGCAGTGTATTTCATTACATCTGCATGTTTTGCTCCCTACTCTGTCTCTAGTGAATCTTCTTACCTTAACCCTCTCCCCCCCAACACACACACCTGTTCTTGTAAGAATAAATAAATCTTTAAAACACAGTTCTTATAAGAATAAATAAATCTTTAAAACACACACATACATACACACACACACCAAAAGATGCTACAGCTAAGCTATACAAAGCTTCTGCCTTCCTCCAAAACCGTTCTGCTTTCCCACACATTTAGGCTTTGGCTGATTCAGTCACCCAGGCCCCAGCTAATGTTCCCCAGTGAGCTCCCACATTCTTGTAGACTTAGTCACTGCTGCTTCCTGTGCTCCCTCCATGGCTCCTCTTTCTCAGTGAGTTAGCCCTGGTCCTTCCTTTCTATGTCTGACTTCCTCACTCCATACTGTTTCAAGGTAGATGCTGCTTCTTATTCATCTTCATGTATACTCAGCCTGGCTCAGGGCCTGACACATCATGACTGCTCACTACATTGCTCTGGAATGTACATGTGCATGGCCAATGAATGGAAAGATGGTAAAATGAATTCGTAAACAAAGGAAGCAATTACTTCAGAGTCCTTGGTTGTTTCTCATTGTACTATATCTGTCCTTCTTGAATGTTAATTATTTTTTAAGAAACATATTAATGCAGTTTTCACCTTACACAGAATTAGAATAGAAGCTTCTAAAGGGCATTTGTATCCCCTACCTGTGCTTTTCATACACTCAGAACAAAATATAATAGTGTTGGTTAAGTTGTCGAAAATACTCTTTTGCAACATGCTTGCATAGCAAGAATTTTCTTCACTGGTATAAAGGAAGTCACTATGTAGGTTTTATTTCAAAGGGAGTGTTGTAATAAGATGTTATCCTAGCATCATCACGAAAAAGAAGTAACTTCCTGATTTTCTTTTTTCTTACTCACAGTAAAAGAGAAAACATTCAGGATTCCATCTCTTTTGTTGCCTGAGAGTCTATCCAGAGATATAATATTTTCTTATAAAAAGCCATGAAAATATGAGTTCAGTGGAAAAACTATTTTATGCTGTCATGTTTTTGCCAAGCTTTGGGAAATATTTTTCTAAAACACTATAGTACTTCATTAAACTTGGGTTTATCTTCATAAGTGGTGAGTAAGTACTCAACTAAAGAAATAGCTTCTAAGTGTGAAACTTTCTTTTACACTTGTAAGGACTCAGAGCTAAAGTCTGGCAAGAATTAAAAAAAAAACAAGCTTAACCTCTTCTTTTAACATAAGAATAATTAAGCTCACATAGAAGCAGACTACCACCTCTTGACTGTAATTAATGATTCTCAAGCAAGAGAGGCTTTGGTCTAAAGATATATTTGGCAATGTCTAAAGATATCTTGGTTACCACATTTAGGAACTTACTACTAGTGTCTAGCAGATACAAGTCAGGGATGCCAAAGCTGCTAAACATTATTCAACTCCCCAACAACCATGGCCCAAATTGTTAGGACAATGTTTGGGAAAGCATGCTCTCTCTATATTGTTAATTTCCACATAATTGAGACAAAACAGTAGAAAAAGACAAACTCATATTCCTAAGTACTCCATGAAACAAATTAACATGATATGTTCACAGTTCATATATAAGGTAGTATTTAGAAGAAAACTGAAAAAAACTAAGGCATTTGATACAACGAAGTTCTTGGAGTGAAAACACATTTTAGACATTCTAATTTCCATTGTAGGCAAAGTTGGCGTCTGCAATGGGTTTTAACTGTCCAGACAGATGGATAATTGGAGCTAAAGTCAGACTATAAAGCCTGTACCAACTCCCACAGTAAAATTTCCCAAGACCTAGATGAGTTTTAGTTATAAGACTACCAGTGGCTTTAATAAGCATTGTAACTCTCAATGATGTTTTTAAAGTGATGTATCTCCAAAAAGTCATTATCAAGGACATTTTAATAGTAATAGTCAAAATGGAATTAGTTCAACTTCAATGGGACAATTCAGAAGTCTACTCACTGACTCTGGTAACACATGTACCAGAATGAGGAAAGAGAGCAAAGAAGATTATTTTCCCTTACCTCTGTAACTGGATTTGCATTGCAATGTAATCTTTACTAAAATGAATATTTGTGTATCTGCTTCCAAATAAAAACACAAAATTGTTTTTTCTAAATACCTTAAGAATATATTCAGATGCCAAGATTTGTGAAAAGGCCTTTCACAGAAAGCTATTACAGTTAATTGGTGTGAGACTTTGGCCAAACCATCTGTGGTTACTGCCAGTTTTCACAATGGACCATACTGGAAGCTCACACTTTCCTACACAGAGACATTCCAGCAAAATCCCCATGGACAAATACTAACCACCAATCGGTGATAAAAATCTCTTCCTTTGCCTCTTCCATGGCATTGGCCACATCTTCAAAGTATCCTTTGGCATTAACATACCTGAAAGACAAATTTTTTTAATGATTTATTTATTTATGTATACAAAACGGGTATAGGCAAGAGGTATAGGGGTGCCGAATGGATTTGCCAGGGACAGATTGGGGAGCAGAACAGGCAGATCTACTGAAACACACTGCTGAGGGGAGCAGTGGGCCAGACAGGAGAGGTCTGCTGGGCCATGTGGGTCACAAAACTTTTCACTGACTTCTTTAAAAAGAAAAAAGGAAGGAAGAAAGGGAGGGAGGGAGGAGGGAATGGAGGGAAGGTGGGGAAAAGACACAATGTATGGAAAAGTAAAAGATGGAAGACACTGCGTAGCATCTCTATTAACCACCAGTTTATTTTATCTATCTGGAGATAAGAATTGAAAAGATAACTTTCTATCTGCGACAGAGGAAGCAAAGTAGACAGAAGTGGTATAATTCTGCTGTTAAACAACAAATTACTTGTCCTTGTCTTCCTCTAGGAGCACATAATCTCCTACCCTGCTAACTCATACACCATTGTTCTGGGACTAAAAACAGGTCAGTTTCCTGTCCATGGTAGGAAAACATGCTAAACATAATTTTATTTGAAGGAAATATCTTGCCAGTAAGTTTATTTCCTTAAATTATGGTTAATTACTTAAATAAGCTTTCTATTTGCATCATTAAGGAAATGTATATATTTAACTTTTAAAATCAAACTTCTAAATAAAACTACCTACCTAAACCTCACTATAAAGACTAAGTTGTGCTGAGGTAGTCCTATAAACAGAAGCGCTAATCCAGTATAGTAACTTTGCAGATTCAAAAATTGATTCCAGGCAAATTTAAACCATTATAATATTAGGTGTTATATTAACATTGACAGCCTCGAGCAAAAAGATCTTACCATTTTGCTAAAGTGTTCTCTTGGATAGCAGCATAGGAACCAAATCTATGCTCTTTGAGAAAGTTGGTGCCATGTTTCTGGATGAATTCTTCGATAGCTCCTCCCCACCACCGAGCATGTCTATAGCTGTTGCATTTTAGAATAAGTGTCCTTCAAAGAAAAGCAAAATATGGAAAAGAACAGTCACTCTGTGTTCTGTTTCTTTAAGCAAATTTAAAAATTAAACATGCCCCATTTTGTTTTGGTATTGCAGCAAATATTCTAGGCATCTGACTTCTAAATATTTTGGCAGGATTTTAACATATATTCAATAAAGCAAGAATAAATCTTCAGGTTATATATTCACTCATCCACTCTCATGCAAACAAGCATAAAGGTACTTATAGACCTAGAGCTGTGCTAGGTTGTGAGGCAGATACTAAAAGAGAAACCCAATCTGTCCCAATATAAGAATCATATTGTCAATATGAAAGATGAGCAGGCTTTGGGGAAGAAATGCAATGATCCTGGGGCCTCTCTGGTGGCACTAGGGGTTAAGTGTCAGCTCTATGCAGCACAAATTCAATCCCCCAGCCAGGGAGTTCACCCACATGGTGCAGCAGTCCTCTCCTCTGTCTTGCTGCTGCTCTCCTCAGCAGTGTATTTCAGTAGATTCACCTGTGTTGCCCCCCACTCTGTCTCTGGTGAATCCTCTCAACCCCCTTCCCCAACCCCCACACCTCTAGCCTATACCCCAGCTCTTCTATACAGAAGTAAATAAATTTAAAAAAAAGAAATGCAAAGTTGTCCAGACTTGTCCCCTCAATACTTCAGACTGATAATTTAGTTATTTGCTGAAAGCCACTAAACCGTGAGAGAGTTAACACTACTAGGGTGGGGACACATGCCAGGTGAGATGTGGGGAGCTGAGAGAAGGGAAGTATCAGGTGTGGCAGGGGAGATGCCAGTTTCTGGAGGTGAGGCAAGGGGGTATGAAAAGCACTTGGCCTTTTGCCATCACACAAGTACTGCCCAGTGGAGGTGAAATGCCTCTGAAAACCAATTATAAGAAAAAGAGTCTGTACAAGTGATAAGTGACAAGCAGAGGTATCACTTGTGAATCAGAGCAAAGGGAGGGCGGAAGACGGCATGAAGACAATCACTGCAGTACACTGAATTCTACAGAGACAGTGTCAGGGCAACTGAGAGTGGAATGAGCACTGAGCAATTGTGCTTAACTGGAGTAAAATATAGTTAAACATGGGCAAAATAGGTCCTAAGAAGCTGACAGGCAAGATGCCATCATAAGTATTTTCTGTGTAAACTTGCATGCAGATGCTTCAGTCAACTTCTCAGTATCTCTGAGATGTATTCAGAGAGATGGAAGAGCAGATCTTCTAAAGGAATATAGAAGTCTGAAGACATGACAAAGATGGACTGACTTGCAATGAAAGAGAAATGAAAACTGATAACCCACTTAAAGGGGAAACAAAAAAAGTTCAAGAATCCCAAGACACCCAAGAGGCCACCTCTGGCCTTTTATGTATTCTGTGTGTGTGCCACCCACTAATCAAAGGAGCACATCATGGCCTACTTACTGGCCATGGAAAGAAACTGGGACCTGTGTGAAACACACAATCAGGTGACAAGCAGCCTTATGATAAGAAGGAAAAATATGGAAAGGATGCTTCAACCTACCAAGCTAAAGGAAAGCCTGATGTGGCAAAAAAGGGGAGCAGTCAAAGTTGAACAAAGCGAGAAAAAGAAGGAAGAGGAAGGAGATGAGGAATGAAGAGGATGGGGAAGAGAAAAAAGATGGAAATGTTGAATAAGGTGTTGCTGCGCTGTTTTTTTTTTTCCCTTGTCTATAAAGCACTGAAATTCTCTGTACACAAAATACTTCTTTCAAACAGAAAGTAACTGAAATGTAGACTTGTGATATTTGTTCTTAAACGGTAGTTTTCTGTGTGTAGTTAACACACCGCCGAATGTGTGTTTAGACAGCCCCATCCCATTGGTACTTTCAAGAGCCACTAACCTTGCCTGGTACAGAGTGGGGGGTGGAAATTCAAAGGGTGCTGGTGCACAGCACAGACAGACAAGGGTGGGCATTTTTTCGTCCTCAATGGCCTCTAAAGCAGCTTATATGAAATAATTGTGCAGTGAGCTGAATACCACTCTGTACTTGAAAAAAAAAATGCAGCTGTTTTGTTGACAGTTTGAATGCTTCTAAATCAATGCAATATTTTTTCCTTAAAAAACAGAAGAGAGAAGTATCCCAAATGTGGAGACAGAAATGGTGAAGAAGCAAGTAAAACAGTATTGAGTAAGGGATGGTTAAGGGAAGTGTCTGCACAGAACCTGACAGGCTGCATTAGTGAGGGGTTGTAAATAAAGCAGAAAGATATATAGGAATTACATAGATCTAGAGATACAGTGATTATATATGTAATAATAATATCTATATATAATATTATATGTTATATAATATATATATTATATACAATATTATATACAAATATTCATATTAATTACAGAAAACATTATAATTAATTAATAATATGTGTTTTGTATATTATATTAATTATAATATAATAGATTAATTATAATTATATAATATAATATTTATATTAATTATATATGATATGTATAATATTATATATAGATATTATTATAAATGGAGGAATTTGAACTTATTTGCTAAAATGAATAAGAGAACATCTACCACGAAGAGGATGAAAGCTGGATTTGGATTTATTTGTTTGGCATTGATGCACAATAGGGGATAAAATATGAAGGCAAGCTGATAAAGTGACTGCCACAGGGACCAAGGATGTTTGTAGCCTGATTTCTATGGCTTTCAGGAAAACAGGACTATAATGCCAGAAAGAGCTTTCAGGGCAACCATGGCATTCCTATAAGCAACACTGGGTCTCCTATTATCAAAAAAGATCAGAAAGTTCGGGATCTTTTTCACATACACACACACACACACACACACACACTATCAGGGTATATATGTCTATGTCAGTCAATATGTGTAACAAAATAAATATACATTAGCTTCATGTGCACAAACCTGACTGGGGTATATCCAGAAAGACACATGCATATTGTGTAATTACAATTTTCCAGAAGTAAACATATTTATCAGTACACACACTCACTAATAAAATCTATAATAATGGAAAAGTATACTTAAGTTCCTTTCAAGTACTTTTCTTAAAATTTGTGAGTAAAGAGAAATCCTGTATATAAAATCACATTTTATATGTTCTATGATCAAAGTAAAATTTTATGTTTTATAAAATATGAACTGTTGCATCTTAATTTATTTGTACAGTAAATTGGTATTTTTGAAGGGTCAATTTTGGTTTTGGTTGAGATAAATTCACCCAGAATAATTTCTTGTAACTGCACATGAAGAATATTCTGATCTTCAAAATGGATACAAAGTACTTTCCTTACTTTTGATTGAGGGTGGTTTTTAAGTAACTAACATTTTACTTATTTTTTTTTAATTTTCTTCATTTAAGGTTGAGGAAAACTACTTTTAAGAAATTTTAGTAGAGATGTTAAAAATTTGAAATTTTTACCTCGAAAGACTATCAATTCGGACTCCATATTTTGTCTCTGTTTCCTTCCTTCCCACCTTAATGCTGAATTCTTTATCCACCAACAGGACGAACGCTATAGCACCACTGTCTGGCTTCATATACAGTAAAAAGGAATCTTTCACTATCAGCCACCTATAAGAGGGCAAGAAGTACTTGAAAGTTGTATTGAATTGTCAAAACACCACCAACAAATTATTGTAAGTCTGAAGGAAACACTCTAGCAGACTTTAAAAATAATTCTAGTCGGCCCTCCCTGTGGCGCAGCGGGTTAAAGCACAGCACTAAGAAGCTTAAGCCACTTCCACATGAGTTCGATCCCCACCGGCCCCGGAGGTGACCACATGGCTGCAGACCTCTCCTAACCCGCCCACTTCTCCCCTCAGTGGTGTACTTCATAGATCAACCTGTTCTGCTCCCCACTCTGTCCCTGGTGAAGCCTCTCACCCTCCACATCTCTGGCCTGTACCCCAGCTTTATATATATGAATAAATAAGTAAATCTTTAAAAAAAATAATAATTCTAGCTTTTTTATTTTTAAGATTTATTTATTTATACATACAGAAGTGGGGTGCAGGCCAGAGGTGCAGGGGCCATATGGGGATTCACCAGAGACAGTGGAGGGAGCAGAACAGGCCAACTGTAGAAGTACACTGCTGAGGAGAGCAGTGGGTGGGTCAGGAGAGGTCTGCCGTGCCACGTGGGTCACCTCCAGGGCAGGGATTGAAATCATGCTGAAGTGACTTTAGCTTCTTAGTGCTGCGCCACCAGGAAGGGCCCAAAATAATTCTACTTTTTATAC